CAAGAGCAACATGCAGCGTGCGCAGTTAAACCTTGCTGGAAAAACAAACGCTGCATCATTAACCAGATCAACCTTCCAGAAGAACGGTAAATATTTTTCTTAAGACGCACAGCTATAATTGCCTTTAAGGTGAGTCCTAGTTTAGAAATGGTAGCGGTGGGTAAATGATTAATGCTGCTGGTATTACTGCCACCATAAAGATCAGCACTGGTAATAAGTGAGCAGACTTTGGTGTTCTTATTGTTTTTATTGGCCTCAGGGTTCAGGGACTACATGACGTAAGGCCTGAGATTCTCGTACTGCACAAACACACTGGTATCAATTCTGAAGTAAGGCTGGAGCAAACACGGCTATTTGATTTTGCAAAAAAACAAAATGCTTTGCTGAAATCTTCCCCCAGAGACTCCAGGAGCAAATACGTCAGTAATGACAGCAACAATTTCCTCAGTAAAAAAAAAAAAAAAAAAATCAAGCAGCAGGTCTCATATCTTTGTACTTATTAATTTGCCCTTTAAAAGGCAGATAAATGTGACGTGAAGCATGTCGTGTTCATTAAGGCCTGCATGGCTCCCTCGAGACAAACAAGATCGATGTGAAACTGAGAGATCCTCCCTCGTATGTTATTACACAGACAACATGATGGTGATTGCATCCACCCTCTTCCTCAAATCCATTATTTCCTCACCTTGTTTTGCCATATTTTGTTTGTAGCACACACCAGAACACCAGAATGTGACCCTGGACCACAAAACCAATAACAAGTGTCCCTTTTTGGACATTGACATTGATGCATAATCTGAATGTTTTAGCTGTCTAAATCATACCACAATTTGCAACCCGGGCTCATTGTTGAAACGTAGCCCCGCGGACGTTTCTGCGGACCGCGAGATACGTCCCGGGAGGTACGTATTCGAGCGGTTTTTGTTTTCGCGGATCTGCGAGAGGCCGCTGTGCGTGCTTTTTCGTGTCTCGGGCGCCTCTCGGGAGTGCGCGCCATTCGCGCCCGTGCCGTTCCCGCGCGAAAAGCCGCCGACTCGGCCACCCTCCTCTTCCTCCTCCTCCTCTTCCTTCCCTAAACCCAAGCGACGGTTTGCAAAAGCCGTCCAGAAAAAAAAAGCAAAAGCCCTTGTCTTCGATTTCGACCGCGTTTTCGGATCCCGCTGCGTTCTCGCACTTATTTTTAGGATTCTGTTTTTCGTCTTACCTGATTTCCGGAATCGCTGTTCCCCGGACTCGATCCCGGTTGTCGTCCCCGCTGCCGGCTCCTCCTCCTCCTCTGGGGCCTCCGCTTCGCCGTCGTAACACTGTGAGCTAAGCGGACAAACTGTTTGCATCGGGAAAGCCCTCCACTCGGAGGCGAGTCGTTGGCCGGCGAGCGCGAAGAGGAGGAGCGGAGCGGCGCCACACCGCCCCGCATCGTTCAATTGAAAAAAACTAAACGCATCTGTACGTACCTCTGGCCACATAAATCGCGGTCTTGAGAAACGTCCGCGGGGGTACGTTTCCAGAATGAGCTTGGGTAGACAACCCCTTAGCGGGGATATCATGTCATAAACATGATTGACATAAAGCCATTATAAATATGTAATAAATTTAAAAACAACATCAATAATATATATATATATATATATATATATATATATATATATATATATATATATATATATATATATATATATATATATATATATATATATATATATATATATATATATATATATATATATATATATATATATATATATATATATATATATATATATATATATATATATATATATATATATATATATATATATATATATATATATATATATATATATATATATATATATATATATATATATATATATATATATATATATATATATATATATATATATATATATATATATATATATATATATATATATATATATATATATATATATATATATATATATATATATATATATATATATATATATATATATATATATATATATATATATATATATATATATATATATATATATATATATATATATATATATATATATATATATATATATATATATATATATATATATATATATATATATATATATATATATATATATATATATATATATATATATATATATATATATATATATATATATATATATATATATATATATATATATATATATATATATATATATCTATATATATATATATATATATATATATATATATATATATATATAAATATATATAT